ATGCATAATTCTCTAAGCTAACGCTACCAGATGGCGCTGATATCACTTAGACTAAACACATTTTCAGATCATTGTAAATAATATTTTAATTCAAATAAGAAAAATACACATTTTACGCCACCCCCCACCCCCAATTTATTTTTAAAAAAAAAGATTTCTGGAATTCTGAAGCACAATTTAAGAACCACTGCCCCAACCCATGAACATAACAAATGTCAAACATAGAGATGAGCTTCGCTATATGCGTTAGTGTTCATGGTCACTCGATGGTAGCTGGTGGAATTTATCCTTTTTCTGATACGAAATAACGCATATTACTTTCATAAATCTTTAGGCATATATCATCATAATGGCGATAAGCCTAGCCTTCCTTCCAATAAGCAAATTCCTACACCCATTAAAAGCTTATTAAATTACATTTACTATTATTATTGAAATTGAATTCTAAAACAGAACTTCAGTACTAGTGTTATCAGCCAGTCACCATGTGAAATGAAATTTTAATATTAATTGTAAATAGAAAGAGTACCACGGTCACAACCAAAGAGTTGCATTATATTGCTAGGACGAATTATACAAAATTCGCAGCATGTAGCCTATTTATTAAATATATTTCAGAGCTTTGCAGTTTCAATTACTAAATGATTTTGCTTAAATTTAGTTTCGAACAAATCGCTAGAGTTTTAGGCCCATATAAATATAATTTGTTTTATTTAATTCATGTAAAATGCACCCTACAAAAAATGATGCACACACACAAAAAAAAAGATTTCGTTGTTCTATACATGCAGGTTTCATTGCTTCCCACTGGATGGAACACTTAGGTATTGAAAATGAGAATATGAATCATTTTGCTTTCTAAACACACGAAACCCGTTCCATTTATCTTTCCTGGTCCGGGTATGTATCGGTGGTGATAATTATTATACTCGACTAGAGACCGACCGAAAGTGATTTTCTGATTTCGGCCGAAGCCGAAAATAGGCCGAAAGTTTAAAATGACTTTCGGCCGAAACCGAAAAAATATCAAAAGTTTAAAATGACTTTCGGCTGAAACCGAAAAAATGCCGAAAGTTAAAAATGAATTTCGGCTGAAACCGAAGCCGAAAATGAAATGTGAAGATGTATTGAAATTCGTTCCCGCATACATTCTGCATATGTCGAAAATGATGTGGGAAAGTATAAATATTTACATTCTTTTTATAAAAAATGAGATAATCATGAATATTAATAAATAAACATCTAATATAAGGGTCTCAAACTCGCGGCCCGCGAGCCATTTGTGACCCGCAAGACGATATTTTGCGGCCCGCTACATGACAGAAAAGTTTAGTGTAAATGCGCCGGCTCGTTTCCCCCCATTCTCATATCTATAACGCGGTTTCAGTCGAATTTCACCGACTAGTCTAATTCTGATTATTTTTTAAAATGTTTCTATATATTTTTTTATTCAACGGTGAGTAGGTGGATGAAAGTGAATCCTATTTCTTGAGAACCCTTAATGATTTTATTGTTATTTATAAAGGTTGAGCAGATTGTAACAGTTGTAATCGCTTTTTTGTGGATTACTTGATGCAGCCCACTCTCATTCAGACACTATCTCCTGCCCCCCCCCCTTTGATGATTTGAGTTCGAGACCCTTGATCTAATGAATACTTTGGATTTTACCATTTTAATATAAAAGTACTTTAAATTGCTTTACAATTTTTTAAAAATTAGTATTGTAGGAAAAATTTGCCAAAATTGGGGGAAAAGGGGGGGGGGGGGAATTAATGAAAAAATTAATTTTTTTAAACCGGGTTTTTAAAAATTGGGTTTCTAAAAGATCGCTTAATTTGTTTTTAAAGATCGTTTAGTTTGTTGTTAAAGATCGCTTAGTTTGTTCTTAAAGATCATTTAGTTTTTTGTTAAAGATCGCTTAGTTTGTTGTTAAAGATCATCCAGTTTTTGTTAATGATCGCTTTATTTTTTCTTAAAGATCGGTTAGTTTGTTCATAAAGATCGCCTGGTTTGTTGTTAAAGATCGTTTAGTTTGTTCTTAAAGATCGCTGTTTGTTGTTAAAGATCGTCTAGTTTTTGTTAATGATCGCTTTATTTGTTCTTAAAGATCGTTTAGTTTGGGCATAAAGATCGCTTAGTTTGTTGTTAAAGATCGATTAGTTTGTTCCTAAGGAACGTTTAGTTTTCTGTTAAAGATCGCTTAATTTTGTTCTTAAAGATCATTTAGTTCGATCTTAAAAATCGTTTAGTTTGTTCTTTAAGATCGTTTAGTTTGTTATTAAAGATCACTTGGATGGTTCTTAAAGATCGCTTTGTTTGTTTTAAAGATCGTCTAGTTCATAAATGTCGTTTAGTTTTGTTAAATATCGTTTAGTTTGTTCTCAAAGATCGCTTAATTTGTTCTTAAAGTCGCTTAGTTTGTTGTTAAATATCGCTTTTGCTGAGTATTAATTGACCAAAAACCTGAGTCACTTTCTGCCGGATGGCCGAAAGTCTGTCAATTTCGGCCGAAACCGAAGAAAAACCGAAAGTTAACTTATCATATTCGGCCGAAACCGAAATTAAGCCGAAAGTTAACTTTTCAGTTTCGGCCGAATTTGAAACTTGGCCGAACGTGATAAAATGGCCACTTCCGGCGCCGAAACCGAAATTCGGTCGGTCTCTATACTCGACATTGGAAAAAAAGGGGGGGGGGTGATCCGGGGACATATTATAAATATGAAATGTTGCAGGGTGATTCCTCTTATAATCTAGGGAGACTGGCAGGATTATGGTTTAAATTCAGAGTGGAGGAAGCATAAAATGAACTGAATCCGAACAAATATCAAATGGATATTTCTTGAGTGGTTTACTGTGCTCTGTTCTTTGTGATACTTTCATTTGTCCTGTGTGCTGAAGAAGGCTCTATGCCGAAACGTCCTAATCTTTTTGCCCTGTTTTGTAATTCAAGCTTCCACATACCTCTTTTTGCTATTTCAAAATATAAATGTCTTGGTTTAATTAAAAATTAAAGACACATTTTATTATGAATTTTGCACTCAACTGCAGTGCCTTTGAACATGCACAATTTTATTTTTGCGAATGACACGCAGCCAATAAGAATATTTATTGTTAAGTTCTTAAACCATGTATCATGAACCTAAGTTTAGATATCAACAAAATGATGCAGACCTTTGTAGCTTTCAATGTTTGATTATTTGGAGGTTCCACATCATTATTTCCTTACACGGTCCAAATAAAGACTTGCCATTACCTCCATATTATTTTTTTTATATATAAAAGCCAAAATACCCTCCAAAGATCGAGTGACTGACTGACTTACTGAACACGAGCTCTCCACTCTCAATAATAGGCCCTAAGAAGTTGAAATGTGCATATTGATGATTCCTCTTATTCTTATACTCCTGAGAAGCACTCAGGGGCGTCACTAGGGTTGTATCATCTCCCCTCTCCCAATCCACACACTCCTTTTTTTCGGAATCCCCCCTCCCCGGGACCAGCACTGTGAATACCTCAACAAGATCATGCAGCAACGCTAATAGTATTGTTTGTACTTTTTAAGTCCTAATGTAAAAAAAAAATTAAAAAAAGACAAGGTTTCAATGTAGAATTTTAGGACACATCATTTTAAAAAATGTAAACCAAATTAATTTTTATTGAAACAATATTTAGGCTACAGTTCAAACTTTACTTTTTTTCTAGTCTTCAAAGATGCAAAACCGTTCAATGACTTCATCACTTAGCATTCTTCTTCTTACCACTTTTAACTAGACCTAACCAAATCATAAAACCACAATGACTGGACTGTTCAGATTAAATTAGATCGCAGATAGCTCTATATAAGTTTCATTTTTGAAAAACCTTCTCTCACATGAAGCTACAGACACATAGATCCTGAGAAATAATTGTAGGCTTCATGAGGGGATATATTATCCATTATGATTAGAAACCCTAGGCCAACTCAATCACAATGAATAGCTACTGTTTGCTGAGGGGATAGATAGGGAGAAAATCTAAGTATTCCCATTTGGTTATGAATTTTAAAAACTCTAATTATTCACCAATCTTTGGCTTTGTTGACGGTTAATGTTAGGTTAACTAGCTTGATAAAAACTCTAATTATTAACCAATCTTTGGCTTCGTCGCAGGTTAATGTTAGGTTAACTAGCATGATAAAACTCTAATTATTGACCAATCTTTGGCTTCGTTGCAGGTTAATGTTAGGTTAACTAGCATGATAAAACTATAATTATTGACCAATCTTTGGCTTCGTTGCCGGTTAATGTTAGGTTAACTAGCATGATAAAACTCTAATTATTGAACAATCTTTGGCTTCGTCGCCGGTTAATGTTAGGTTAACTAGCATGATAAAACTCTAATTATTGACCAATCTTTGGCTTCGTTGCAGGTTTATGTTAGGTTAACTAGCATGATAAAACTCTAATTATTGACCAATCTTTGGCTTCGTCGCAGGTTAATGTTAGGTTAACTAGCATGATAAAACTCTAATTATTGACCAATCTTTGGCTTCGTTGCAGGTTAATGTTAGGTTAACTAGCTTGATAAAAACTCTAATTATTAACCAATCTTTGGCTTCGTCGCAGGTTAATGTTAGGTTAACTAGCATGATAAAACTCTAATTATTGACCAATCTTTGGCTTCGTTGCAGGTTAATGTTAGGTTAACTAGCATGATAAAACTCTAATTATTGACCAATCTTTGGCTTCGTCGCAGGTTAATGTTAGGTTAACTAGCATGATAAAACTCTAATTATTGACCTATCTTTGGTTTCATAGTCTTTTAATGTTAGGCTAAATAGCATGATCCAGAAATTACTCATGTAATTTTCCATCCAAATTGTTGAATTATGTACTGATATTCAAAGAGTCTAAGTCTTAGGAAAATGTCACATATTAAAAATAAGTTATATTCTAACTAACTATAACATCACAAGTCCACATAAGAGCAACCATTATAAGTATCAACATAGATAGTTTTTAATTAATGTGTCATGGATGGCACAACCTGGACCAACACATCATCATCCTGGTGTGACCTCAGAGTGTAAGGGAAACCTGGGTACATCTTGCCAGTGTTACAATCTGTCCAGGTGTCGACCCCGAGATTACCAGCTCCAGTTTGCCCCTGGAATGTTAGATATTGTTACAAATTATGTGCAGGTGTACAAAATATTTGGGAATCGCAGTTTAAGTAGACCAATTCAAACTAGGTATATTTTTTAATATCCTATATATTATTACACAATCTTTTATTTTTACAATTAGTTTTTAAATATGGTTTGTCAAATGGATTTTTTTAAAATGAAGTAACAGTCAGTATATCACCACTTTTCCATACTCCTTTCTCCACACCACCCCCTTTCCTCCCACTGTTTGAAAGAAAAAAAATCTTTCAAGCTCCTTACTTTACCAACCTGTCTATGGCACATGAATTTGGAATAAATTTTATGATTGAGTTGATGAGTTGGATTCTTAAGTCTTTCTTGTTAAGATTTAGAGTTAGATAAAAGTCACAGACTCTGGATGAAACATTATTTTAAATACTCAGAGGAAAATTTAAAACATATACTTTTGACACTTTTTATACTGATCTTCAAGAAGAATTAGAATAAAAAAATCACAGATTTTATTTACCATTAATTAAATCACCAACATCAATATATTTAATTCATCTGTCTATAGTTCTTGGCAGCATAACATCTTCAGTCTCATCAAGCAAATAGTAAAACCTGAGTGGCTCACCTTGGCATCTATAGCAATAATGACTAACTGAAATCTGGCCTTCCATCCACGGTGCTGTGAAATCTCATTGGTCACCAGCTGACAAGCTTCCTGGGGATTTTTGCCCTTTGAAACAAACAATCAAGAATGTGAGAATATGCTATCTAATTTTTTACCTCCATCAACATATTCTTAACGAAATTATTCAAACACTGAATATTTAAGTCTACTCTGAGCAACTAAGCTCTAATCAAGGACTCAAGTTATGAAATCCAACCTAGATGAATTTTTTGATCAGATAAAAAAACTGGATAAAATTTATTTAGTCATTTAAAATGTGAATTATTTTTATTTTAAATAAATTTAATAACCTGCTTTAAAAGATCCACAACTTTATAGCTTGGACAGAACTTAAGAATTTCATCCCCATCACCAGAGCAGCATGCCGCACCGTATAAAGAGTCTGTAAAATTTTATTTTTGAATTGATCCATTGAAAAGAAGATTATCAAACTTCATACCAGTAATTTGTTTTAATTAACAAACATGATAACAACTTTGCTAAGAAAATGTATACTCCCATAATAAGTGAAAAAATGTATTGAATTTCATATCAAAATCAAGTTTTACCCAGAGAAAAAAATTGTAAAATAAAATAAAATAAATTATGAGAACAGTTCTGAATAGTGAAAACTCATTGTAGTTAATGCAACTGTGAGTGAAAAATAAGTTATGCATATTCATAAGGACTAAGAATCAAGAAGAAAACTCAACAAACCAGCATACAAGCCACATCCAGGTAATGTACTGTCTCCTACTCTTCCTGGATGTTTACCTGACATCCCACTTGTGGACACACCTGAGAAAAAACATAAAACAATAAAAGCATAGGCCTGACAACAAAAAGATCAAATTATTTATTTGATTTCCCATTTAAAAGAGACTGGTTAACCACAGGAATTATTTCTTTATTTCATGTAACTGTCTTTTCAACCAAAACCCAATTCAGTTGGACTGTATTCATTTTTTCAGATTTTTACTGTCATTTCGATCTAAAAATGGATAATAAGAGTTTTGACACACATGTGTTGCCAGGAAACAATCAAATAATGCTAGTTACTAAAGTTTAAATCTATTTGTCTTGATTTCTGTGACAGTAAAAAATGGTTGTCTCACCTGCACAAATGTTACCTGTACCATCCAAAGCCAGGAGACCAAGTGTATCATGTCCAGCACACTGAACTTGGGCAAGTGAACTGGGCTCTCCACAAGGCTGGTGATGTAGGAACTTGCATTAAATAAATGTAGGAGGAGCTGGAATTTCTTATTGCGATCTGGCAATCCAGAAGGGTTCTTAGATAATTAAAATAATAAAATAATATTTTTTTAATAGAGCTTATGTTAAGTACATTTGATTAAACCAGTCTGTCTGTATATAATATTTTTTTTATAGAGTTTATGTTATATATATTTTATTAAATCAGTCTGTCTGTATATATATATATATATATATATATATATATATATATATATATATATATATATAAATATATATGAATGTATTTCATGAGAATTTATTTTCTTATAATATTCAAAACTATTATACATTGATCAAGTTGGATACTTTATATAGAAGAATTGTTGGACTCACAAAATATTATGGCAAACTTACAGAGTTCACGCCAAGGTTTGGCTGATATTTGAAGCCATGTGACTCTGCAAATAATGCAGCACCTGATCCAGTCAGAATACTATGCCGGCTTTTTTCCATTACTTGACGTGCTACAGAGATGGCTTGTGGGAATCTGAATTGGAATAGCATATCAGTCTTCCTTACTCTCTGTAATAGTTTCAAGTTATGAGATCAGTTGTTGCCCAACTTTCCTTAAAAGTTTGAGAGGCCCAAGTGAAATCATTTGATGTATTTGTAGATAAGTGTTTGTTCTACATAAAAAAAATAATTTTCCTACACAATACTATGTGTGGAGTCCAGCTAACTGGAAGAGTAAGTACAACAGCTATGAAAACAAGTAAGAAGAAACATAAATAAGTTGCAATAAAACATATGGCTATAATAAAGGCATTTAAAAAAAAAAAAATACATCTAACCCCTGCAAGGCTGTAACAGCTCCAAAGCTTAGCTGCTTTCCGTCCATTATTGCGGCATCAAGTTCCAGAACATTGTTAGAGTTTCGCCATCCAGCACATCCAACATGGTATGGGCCATAAGTGGGATCTACTTCTGCTACTGTGGCATTTCAGTATGATAATTGTTTCAATTAATTCAATAGTAAATTACAATTTCAACTTCAGATACAATTCCATTATAGACTACATGCCCTTTTTTAACGTTCAGATATTTTTGTAAGCAAGAGTGACTAATAGTGGTCTTCACTGCTATTTCATTGAATTTCACTGGTCAATTAGTGAACTTTGAGCATTGTTTTACCTCAATAATATTCAAGAACCCTAATCTAGACGAACTATTTTTACAGTGAAGTCAACAATTTATTAGCCAGGATCAAAATTAATTAAATAAATAAGATGATAATTATGATAAACTGACTAGTGATACCAGCCTCCACAGCATCCAGAGCTGAATGGCCATATGCTAGTCTCTTGGCAGCCTCTAGTGCTGGTGCTTGAGAGAAAGTCCAAGTACCCACTACAGTGAATGGTTGGGCCATTGCTGACTTTAATGGATTTAAAGAAAGATTACAAATTATGTAAGCCATAACAATTATATTTTAGGCCTACTACTACTACAACTAGTTATAGAGTGAATATGGAAATTTAGTTTAAAAAGAAATCTAGTTTTATGTTAGTTAGCCTATCATTAAATTATGAACACATTCTATGATAATAATAAATTTAAATTATTGTAAAGCAACTGTTACTGGGCTTTCATTATTATTAATTGAAATTATACCTCACAAAGTTGAAAGACTTCTTTTTGGCTGACTTGGTCTCCCACTGGATTAACTCAGTTACAAAATATAATAATTCTTTGTAGCCTACACTATATATACTATAGGCCTAATGGCTATAGTACAGTTATAGTTCACTATGACTATAGGCATATGAATATGAATATTGTCACTGTAACTATACTATAGGCCCCATACACTTTATAAAAAATGGAAGTAAAATTATACCGTGAGGTATCAATTAAATTGGATAATTAGGCCTATTATCAGGGACGTCCTTTAGGTAGAGCAGCCCCCCCCCCAACCCACCCTTTTTGAATTTGCAGGTTTTATTTAAATTGCTATATTATATGTAGGCCTACTGTGTCGCCTCCAGTAATAAACAATAAGCCGACCAAGTTTTGGTCCCCCCCCCCCCTGAAAAAATCTGAAATGACGCCCCTACCTACTATTCAATTTGATTGATAGCTTGCGCGGAATAATTCTCATATTTTAAATATAACATTGATTGGGAAGAGGGATAATAAGGTTAACAATATTTGAGTTTCTGGTTTCTCAATACTCCATACTATAGTTCATATCCAAACAATGGATGCATATTTCCCGCGACTTTCAAGGGAGATCACCACTTATTGTCTCTCTCCCCCCCCCCCCCCCCC